GTGCAAAGAACCGAAATTGTACTCTCATCTATTCTAAATCATTATATAGATGGCTGAAAAGACGTAAGCCACTTGGAAATAGGAGATCATGTAGTTTTGGAATAATCCACCAATTTTTTAAAAATAAACACTATCTAATGATTTGCATCGAAGCATTTTTTTATGATAGTTATTTTAATAACTGTCAGATATCATTATACTTGATCAAACTATTCCACATCACCACTGTGCCTCGACCCTCCTGTGGTGGAGTTTTTTTTTTAGTTAAAGTAAATCATTAAAATTAATTATGTTCTGAATATTTCAATTGTAGAATATTTTTAATAGCCAAAATTTACTAAGCAATGATTACTATAATTTCTATTCAAGTGATCTATTACTTTAAAAATATAAATATAATATTGAGCTTTTCTGATAAATAGTAATTATACAATTTCCTGACTGCATATTAATCTTTATAATACTATTTTTTTATTCTCATAAAATTTTCTATTTAATAATGTAAATTTCAAATTTGAAGTTGAGCTAAAAATTATGGTACAAATTAAATTTTTTTTTATTCTAAGCTTTCGAAAAATCAACTTTCAAATACTAGAAAAATTGGTTAAAATGATATTTTGCACTGATAATTTTTAAAATAATAAAAATGAAAATCTGTAATAATTTACAACTATTTTTGTGTTTTTAATTATTTTATCGTACTAAATCATTTCACGTCACCATTGTGCGGCGACCTCCCTGTGCTGGGTTTTTTATTGCTATTGCTTTCTTTTCAAAAAAAGAAATTTTGTTCGAAATTCCTTAAAACATATTACTATTTATAATTTTTGAATGAAATGCATAACTCTTATATATCATAAGAAGAAGAACGAGTACCCTATTCATTTAAATTTGTTCCACTCGACCTATGACTGCAAGTTTAATTTTAAAAAACATTTCATTGGTAGGAGGACACATATCTGTTAAGTATTTTAGTAAAATTTATTCTAATTTAGTCATACTATAATAAATTAAAAAATAAAAATGTAAGATAATAGTTTAATATTGGAAATTCGTTTTTTTTAGATTAAATTTATCATATACATTTACTATAACTTATACTATACCATTACTACTAAACATAACTTATACCATTACCTTCTACTTGATGTGATTAGTTACTTAATATAAAGCTATCTGTTATCCTAATATTATTATCTAAATTGCTTCTCTCTGTCACATTTTGCTCATGTATAAAATCTATTTCCTCCTGTATGAGGCCTTCAGCCTTACCTTTAATTCGAAATTTTTCGCTTCTTTCTATTACGTTATGAGTTATATTACCATCTATATCAGTTTTGTATTCTTCTTCTGTAATGTTTTGGTCGTGTTTGTATTGTCTTAGATACATAGATTTTCCATTTGAATTTTGATCACTGTATTCTTAATCGCTGTTGCTTTCTTTTCAAAAAAAGCAATTTTATTCGAATTTTTATTTTTTTTTAGCGTCACATTTATAGTTATTTTTATTATTATTATTAATTTTATTTCATATTAATAAATCAATTTTGATTTTTTCAATTATCTATATTTCATTATTTACAGCTATTAATTACTTTTTACAATCATCTATTACAACATATAGGGGTGTCAACATAATATTTTCTATTGAGTACATATATAGTACCTAGTTTAATTATTAACAATCTAATTAAAAAATGGCTAGTGAATTACAAATTTTCGATCAATATTTCTGAAATTATTAACAATTCTATTTTTTAACCGGCGTTCAGAAATGAGGCTGCTGCTTTTTTTTATCACCAGTCAATTAAACATAATGTACCCTTGACTCACCTTTAAACTTCTTCTTTTTGAGCTCCCCGTTTTTATTGATTACTGGAGTTGTAAAATTGAGAACTTTGGTATCGCTAGATATAATTGTTTGATAATATTTTTGAATTGGCCTATTTAAATCAATTAATGTCCATTTGTTTTTTTTCTTGTGTTAATCATTTTTGTAACATTGCTCTTTTCAGCGCATTTTATTAATTTTTCAAATATTAAAATTGTCACGTTGACCGAATGTATTTTTTTCATTTTTAAATAAATTACAATAGAATCAAAATAGTTGTTTATATATTGTTTATAAAACATGAAAATGTGTTTAGTCTGTATAGTAATTTAATATTATTATATTTTCATCATAGGGAAAAACTTAATTTTACGAAATAATTTTGATATGAAATCATCAGAAGTCTATTTTTTTAAAGAAAATAATAATTTATAAAACTGAGATAAAAATTTAATAGACATAAAATTATTAACGTTAAGTAAAACTTTTTTTAGTTCTATTTTAATATCTAGTTATTTAAGAGAAATCACTTTATACTTAATATAAATATAAAAAATATTAGTATATTAAACTGTATATAAAGGAATATTACTATTAAACGTGTTGGTAAATAAATACAAAAATCTTGTACAAAAGTATTAATAAAGTTCAATTAATTATCCATTATAAAGGTCGTTAATTAATCATGCATTGTAGAGTAACACTTTTAATAAGGCAATTACTTTTAAATTAAATATTGATATTATGCATTGTTTATATACTTAAAATATATAAATATATAAAGCGGAAATGGTTTTATTAAAAAAATAATTATGTCGAATGAAAGAGGCATAAAAATGGTATTTATCATAAAAAATTGTATTGATCCATACATTTTTCAATAAGTTATTGCATAATAAAAAAAAAATGTAAAATATAAAATATAGTAATATAACACAAATATGTATGCTTTAATACCAACAGGTATTTTAAAATAAAATAAAATANATTTATATAATATTTATGAAAATCTGTACTCCCCTTGTCAGGTATTTTAAAATAAAATAAAATACAAAACCCAGAATTTTAACACAAAAATAGCATATTTTTGAATACGGTAGTCATTTTTACCATGAAGTCAAATCCAGAGGTCAAATTTTTTTTTTTCAAATTAACGTATATTACATAAGCTTTAATTTAAGATATATATAAATGTGTCAGTATTTCCGGAATACTTTCAAAAATTAAATTGAAAATGTCCTAGGGACAATACGCATGTTTAAAGTTTTGACTCCCCTTGTATAAAGACGNTTAAAGTTTTGACCCCCTTTGTTAAAGGGGTATGATCCGATTTACAAAAAAAGCGTGCCAGATGAAAGGGGTATATAAATATTTATTATAAAGAAATAATAATATTGATCCATACATTTTTCCAAAAGTTATATAAAATATAAATTAAATAAAATAACATATAAAATCGAGAATTTTTTCACGGAAATCGTACGATTTTCTTTAACTTTGATGTCCGTTTTCACCACGAAGACAAGTCCAGGGTCAAATTTTTTTTTTCAAATTAGAGTATGTTACATTAGCTTTAGTTTAAGATATATATAAAAGTGTCAGTTTTTCCGGAACATTTTCAAAAGATAAGTTGAAAAAGTTAATTTTTTGTAAAAATGTTACCATTTTAAAACCCTTCCTGGGTCTGTTAAAGGGCCAAATGTTCACAAAAATATATAAAATGATAGGTAAATATCTAAGGTATTTATAAAAAAAAAATTATATTGATTCGGTCATTTTTAAAAAAGTTACGGAAATTTAAATAAAAATATTGAAAAAATATCGAAAATTAGCGATTTTTAAATTTGTAATTTTTTTCGGGGATTTCTCCCGTTTACGGGGAACAAGGGATTTTTTTTCAAATTTTGAGGGTAGTGTCTTTGATTAGATACGATTTGTGATCTTTTGACATATTTTTCATCAAAATCGGTTCAGCGAGAGCTAAGATAAAACGTATTCAGACAAAAAAAAAAAAAAAACGCATCATATTAAAAAAATACCTTCTCAACTTCGCATCGATGCTAAAACGGATGTATTATATTGCATAAAAGTTGTACATAACTAAACGGTTTTTATAGTAATATTGAATCGAGTTTCATAAATAAATACCTCCAACAAAAAAAATGTATGACTTCAAATATCCATCAAAATTAAAATGGGTCATATTTACCTCCACACGACTTCTAACGTTATAATTTTTTTTTGGACTTTTTTTCAAAATATCGATTTATCGTAAATGTAATGTTATAATCGATATAATAATGTGGAATTTGAATTATATGAATCTGCCACCTACTGTGCAATTAAGTTTTAAAAATAAATAATCTATTTAGAATTTCTACTATTCGATGACACGGAACAAATAAGAACAAAACATGTAATAAATTCATCACGTCGCAATGTGGACACCTTTATTATCAGTAATCGATGTGCTACTAATTGTATATACTCGTATCATAATAATTAAATGTATTGTAATATTAATAATAAAAAAATTCAATTCAGAAAAATGATTACATAAATGTAGATACATATAAAACTAATAAATATAAACCATGTTTGAGCTCAAAGAAATACAAGAAAAATTAATTAAAATACATTTTGTAATAGTAAAAGCTTTTGTTTACCGTCATAAAAATAAGATTTTGCAGTTAAAATAAAGTTTATACAAACCAAAATTTTTTAATGAAATTTTGAAAATAAAATTTTTTTTTTCGCAATATAATTTTTAGAAATGCACATAATTTTGTAATTTATTTATTTTTTAATTTTCGTCCTTATTTTTACATCATATGGTAACAAATAATGTTTTTGAGTTAAAAAAAATGAACTTTTTTATACTTTTTTAGAAATGGGGTCTGATAGACCCCCACGGGACTATGAACGTTAAAAATAGTCACGCGCCTGTTAAATGGTTAATTCAAAAAAACTACTCTTAGATGATTTTAAGAAAACCCTTTATAAAGTCATTTAGCTAAGATAAAAAATAAAAATGATAATTTTATTTTTATCTAGATAAAAATCTAAATATTTAATTAGATTTTGATGGTAATTATTCTACCATGACTCATAGTAGAATTAATACTACCTCTACTATACATCGATGCTTAAATTAAATTAAATCATTAAATTTATTTAATGTTAAATATTTATTTAAAAGTAAATATCATAGAGATTTAATTATTATTTTTGCATTAATATATATATATTCGACATTTCGACATAAAACAAAATGGTACTCATAATTTTTAAACATTAAATTTTTATTTATATAATAAAATTATATGGTCCAGGGTTGATTTGTGAACTCGGGTGGGCTAGGATTGTTTTGTCTTCTAACTGTTCGAAAATTGTTGGGACAAATCCAAATATCAACATTTTTTCAACAGGATTAATATTTTGCATATTGTATCTAGAGATATTACATAGACCGTTGTTATTGCAACTGGGTTGGAATTCAAAAATTTTCACTGATATATGAGTAGATGTTAACAACGCAATTATGTCACATAACTTATTCTCATTGTTTTGGCACATGAGACTAGAACTCATATCTAAAACCATAAAATTTATTATTTAGTACATTTCAAGTTATATTTATGATTTCAAGTTTAGTGCTGATGTTTCGGTAACTATCGTTCTAAAAATGAACTCTGCAATGAGTTCGAAACGTCCGCACATAACTGAACACACATTAACATTAACACATTTACGCAAAATCAATTTTAGTAATAAAAAAATTATATTTAAATTAGTTTTATTAATTTCAGTTATTGAAAGGTTAGTCGAGGTACATTGAATGTAGTGTATTTAATTTGAGAATCTTTTTAAATTTTTTAATTTAGAATTTTAGCTTCGATGCGAAGCTGAGAAGGTATTAATTTTACAATGACATGTATTTTTCTATTTTTTTTTTTTGTGTCTGTTACCACTTTTTCTCAGCTCTCACCGAACCGANTTTTTTTTTTTGTGTCTGTGAACGCTCAATCTCAGCTCTCGCTGGACCGATTTTGATGAACGATATGTCAAAAGATCACAAATCGTATCTAGTCGAAGACATTACCCTCAAAAATTGAAAAAAATTCCCTCGTTCCCCGTAAATTGGGGAAACATCCGAAAAAATTACAAATTTAAAAATGGCTAATTTTCGAAATTTTTTCAATTTTTTTTACTAAAAACTACCCTAACTTTTTTAAAAATAAACATATCAATATAATTCTTTTTTTTATAGATGCATGATGTCATTACCTATCATTTGGTATATTTTTTTTATAAATCTGACTTTTTACCTGCCTACAGGGGGGGATTTAAAATGACAACTTTTTTACAAAAAAATAATTTTTTCAACATAACTTTTGAAAGTGTTCCGGAAGGTCTGACACTTTTATATATATCTTAAATTAAAGCTAAGGTAATATACTTTATTATGTAAAAAAAATTTTGTACTTTATTTTGTCTTCATGGTGAAAATGGCTACCAAATGCTATTATTGTGTGAAAATTCTCAATTTTATTTTTTACATTTTTAACTTTATAATGCTATAAAAATGTATTGATCAATATAATTTTTTTATGGGAAATACTATTTTTTAATAATCCCATTTTTCATTCGACATACTTTATCTTAATCAGGATATTAATGAGGAACTAGCAATTTATGAAGCTTTTGGAATAATCCACCAATTTTTTTAAAATTAAACACTATCTAAAGATTTGCATCGAAGTTTTTTTTTTATATTGATTTTAATCACTGTCAGATGTCATTATACTTGATCCAACTATGCCACGTCACCACTGTGCCGCGACTCCCCTGTGCTGGGTTTTTTATATATATATATTTTTAGTCAATTAAATAACAAAATAAAATATTTGATTGAAATAGTTCAATGGTCATGTATTTATAAACTATACGATTATCTATACTATTTCATTGAACGAAATTCTCAATCCTTACTTTACTCATTTATCTGGCGGTTATTTAGCTTGCTTTAAATATTTTTATTATTCTTTTACCAGGTTTAAATGNTTTATTTGGAGGTTATTTAGCTTGCTTTAAATATTTTTATTATTCTTTTATCATGTTTAAATGTACTCTTCAATAGAACAATTCGTCAAAGAAAATATGTTTTTTGTATTCTATTTTCTTTTATTATTAGAAAATGGTAAAAAATTTTCAAAAAAATATATATATATTTAGCTCAAATACTTTGTGAATTAAATTAAAAAACTTGGAAATACCACTAAATACTATAATTAACTTATAAACATTAATAGCTACAAAACTTACAAATTTTGTATGATAGATAATTTTTAAATATTTTTTGCATGATTTGCTTCCGGTACCAAACTTCTCCGTCATATTGCGCTAAAAAAAACTATTATAAATAAATGAATATAAAATATTTAAAATAAAATAATTAAATTTAGATTATCCATTTATTGTTGGATAATTGCACGATTTTGGCTCAAAGAGTTCTGTTGAATGTATTACTAAGATTCATTGTTTTAGAAGATTAATATCTAAAATAAAAAGGGAGCAAAACAAAAAAATATCTAGAATATATCTCGGAAAATAAATCACCATTACCATTAGTTTCAAAAATAAAATATTTCTTAGGTCTGAAAAACTAATTCAATATGATATTCCCCTTTTTAGGTTGATTTATTAAGCATACTACTGCATATTAGCAGTAGTATATTATTATTATTCCTAGAGACTGATTTTAGAATTAACTTTCGAAGGATAAATAAGAACCTATTATTATCATTTAACTGTTAAATGGATAATAGTATAAATAAAATTTTGACAGGTCAAAATATTAATATTTGAAGAATTAGAACTAGTAAGGAACGGGGGTGATGTTTAGCCAAGTTTTATTTTTACTATAATAAAATGATGTACTATTAAAAATAATAACAACCAAAGAGTAGTAATAGGATATATGATATCAGCAAGTGGACATTTTATTTAAACCATTCTCCATTAAATAGTAAAATAATAATAATTGGTTTCTATTTATCTTTCGAAAGTTACTTCTAAAATCTATCCTTAGGGAAAAAATTTTTCTCACTATAAACTTCATATTTATAATGGTTTATAAAAAGAAATATTAATTAATTATCATTTATTATCTTGGTCAATTTAAAAATTTAAAATTTATTCATACAAAAAAAAATGTATTTCATTATATAATCTTTGAATAATAAATAATGTAATTTCATGATTTTTATAAATTAATTAGCTTCAGTGTAGTGTAATTTTTAAAATATTAATAATTTTGAGTTTCAAAGGAGAAGCTTACTATTTTGAAATTTTAAGATAAATTGTCAATTATTTAGTAGGTAAAAATGTTAATAAACCACAATATATAATTCATATTTCAATATTGTTCAGCTATTTTAAAATCGTATTCAGTATACTAATTCTTTTTTTCAAATCTAGGAATGAAAATAGGTTATTATTTATGGTATAGTTTTTTGTATAATTTTAATTCTGTTGCCTCTAACTTAATAAAATAATATTATTTTGATTTTTATATAATTCTTTGAGATTTGCCAAATTAAAAATTAATGTCAGTTTTTATTTTGCATATTTACCATCTACTTTATAAGTTCTCTCTGAAAATTTTAAATATTTTATTCGTTAAATTTAAAACCATATCATATTACAATAACAAGATTATATATAAATCAGTATTGACTAACCTTTATTGGACAAATTAGCTAACAAAAAAATGTATAATAATTTAAAAAAAGATAATTAGTTAGGTAATTTTATGTCATTTTATTTTTTAAAACAAATATTTGTGATAGAAGTACAAATTCACTCAATTATAAATACATAGATGTATTTAAAATTTTTAAATTGTATGTTTTCCATCAAATATTAATAATTATGATCAAAAACTTAATTGCAAAATCACAGTAATCATTAAAAATTTTTTCTTCTTTCATATCGTATGCATCTAATTTCTCATCTGATTCTTTTATTACTTGATCATCTAAAAATATTTTTAATTTGATAAAATATTTGATTGGAACTTATAGTTTTCACCAAACACGCGTTACATTAAAATTTTTTTCAATAGCATCTCAGAGATTAATAAAATATTTTTTGACGTTATAATATAAAATAAAAACATTAATCATTAAAAAACATTATTGTAGTGTTATGATTAGGTTTGTGGTGGACATAATTGTTGAACATTTATAAAATTAAATTTATGTGATACGCAATATTTAAATTTTAATTGTAATTACCACTATCATTCCTCGTTAATTGATTGTATTCTATAAAGATAAATAATTCAGAATAAAACGGTGTTTAATTGTTTAAAATTACAACATTGGTGTGCAGGACAAATACGTGCTAACAATTTTGGGTCAGGGANGGACAAATACGTGCTAAGAATTTTGCGTCTGGGAATAACTTTATTGAAATGCCCATGTGATTATACCACAATATGTATTTCAATACAATTGGTGTCAACATTTTCAGATAAATATAAATAGCTGTGGCGAAATATCTCACAGGCACACCTTACTCAAAAGTAGGAATAGTATTTATAATAGCGATAATAATATAAAAAATTACCTTCTCTTAAAAAATAATGTACTATCGTATCTAAAACAAAATGAGTAGTTAAGTAAATGTATAATAAATTTCAAATTCATTATCAAATGCTATACACAATTTTTAAATTACTATAAAATTAGCAATGAAATTTTACATGACTTTTTTATCAAAAATTTTTAATTTTATAAAAAATCAATAGATTAATTTTACAATAACCAACATCAGTTTAAAGTTAAGTGAAGTTATCACATCTTAAGAGACATTTATTGTGTTCTTTACGAAAAATGTGTTTTTTTTATGGGATTCTCATTTTTTCCAAAGACTCATTATTGTGCTAAAATCAGGTACTTTATGAGAATAACAATTATTAGCAAATACCTTAGGACATACGAGTTTGCAACGTTATAAATCGTTGCATTTCACGGAACCCCCCATTTAAAATAATAAGTAATGGAAATAAATACATATATTTTTTTAGTGTCGTACTACTATATACGACAATAAAAAGAACAAATACTAAAATGTATATATATATATATACTATATACTAATACTGTGATATATAATATTATATAAAATACTTACCGTACGTATTATTATTGAGATAATCATCAAATGCTTCTACAGCTTTTCCTAAACGTAACAAATTTTTTAAAAGAGCATATTACAATATATTTAAGTATTACAATATAAACATATTCCTAGCTCAGCGTTGCTATGACATTCATATTTTCAAGTTCTTATAAGAAAAAAACTTTTTTTTTTAATGGGCTTAAAATAATTTATTGAGCTTCAAGAAAAGATTATTTTAACTATTTAATCTTTAAAAATAAAAATATTTTTATTATCTGTTGCCTTATCAAACAGAAATATAATAATTTTTGGTCCACCATTAATATTAATTTAATTATTTTTATTATTAGTATTCTATTATTATTTTATTTGATTTACCGTCAATTAAAATATCCCAAAGTAGTCGATCTGTAATGAATAATAATATTAACTATTATTAGTGTAATCAAATAAAAAATTTAAGTGAATTATCATTATGATATAATAAAAGTTAAATATACAGTTACGTATATTTTGTTTTGGTCTCAGAGTGGACAGCAGTGGCGGCTTGTGGTCTCAGAAGTGGTGAGGCAAACTTTTAATTTAGTAAATTTGAATAAAGAATATATCTATTTTTAAGATTATAGGTACACGTAGATAATAGCTGTTTTAATCGGTAACATGTTAATTCTTTTAAATGTTTATTAATTATAAGATGAAAAATTATAATCGTATAATACTTTTATACAGTGACTGATAACTGATGTGATAAACGTAATTCGTTTGTTGTTTTTTTGGGTAAGCATAGATTAAAAACAATAACGACATATTGTCGATTCCAATTAATTTATTTGTAAAATGTCGTTTTACATTTGGAACCACCTGGCACAAGATGGTTTTCATCGCTGAGGAAAATTGATATCAACCTCATTTTACCAAGTATTCACGGCTCTCCCCTACCAATCAATGTTAATAATCCAGTATAGCAACTGAATAAAAAAAAAACCCAGCACAGAGTGGTCGCGTCACAGTGGTGACGAGGCATTGATGGAACAATTATAGATGATATCTGACAGTGATTAAAATCACTATCATAAGAAACGCTTCGATGCAAATCTGTAGATCGTGTTTCATTTAGAGAAATTGGTGGATTATTCCAAAAGAAACATCAACTCTTATTTCTTTAATTATATCTTGATTAGTAGTTCTTTGATTTTAAAATATAATATAAGAATAAACACTAATTATAGATTTTAAATTTAGTATGAAATTGTGAGGCCATACTATGATGTATGGTTCATAGTGTTGGGCAGTTGATAAGAAAGTAGAGCAGAGAACAAGTGTTGCAGAGATGAGAATGCTTAATTAGATGAGTGGAGTGACTAGAGAAGATAGGATAAGGAACGACTAAATAAGAGGAAGTATAGGTGTTGCGACAATAGTGGATAAGATGACAGAAAATAGACATAGATTGTTTAGTCATGTTATGAGCAGAGGAGAATTGGAATCTGTAAGAACAAAAGAAATGAATTTTGAAGGAAGAGGTAGAGGAAGACCAAAAAAGAGATTGAGGGATGTTATTGAATGCGACATGAGGACAGCTGATGTGAGCGTAGAAGATGTGGGAAATCGTGTCAAGTGGAAGCTTAGGATAAGGGTGGCCGACCCCAAGTAGTTGGGATTAAGGCAAAGAAAAAGAAAACGATTACCAGAAATTTCGGTGGCAATTGACATAATATGATTGTTGTTTGGGAATGTACAATTTAGAGTTTAGTTGGGTTTAAACAATATAGCGTCAAATCAATTACCTACTCTATCGGTTGTATATTAATATACACTACACGTTAATGATACAATAAATAAATAAATTCATACATACACACATATGCATTTATAACATTGTGTCTAATGTAAGTATAATATGATAAAAAGTAACCGTAAATGAAAAAAATGGAAATTAAATTTTAGTAATCATATTAAATGTAATGTAATTCGAAAAATATTTGTTTAAATAAAAAAATATTAAACAATTTTTTTGTTTATAATTGTCTTTTAAACAACTTTTGTAGGAAACTTTTTTTTGTAAATTAAATATTTTTTGAAAAAATTAAAAAAGCTCATAATTTTGAATTTTTTTGAGGCTGTAAAAAAAAAGCTCAATTCCAATCTTGAGGACTATTAGTATGTCATTATACATATTTTAATTCAACTTTTAAAAAAACAAAATTTTTTCCGCAATTTTTCCTTTGTTGACTGGCCTAGATGTCAATTTTAAACTTGTAATTGAGCTAAAAGTTATGGTAATATATTCAATTTATTTTACTATAAACTTTCATAAANTAACTGGTCTAGATGTCAATTTCAAACATGTAATTGAGCTAAAAGTTATGGTAATATATTTAATTTTTTTTACTAAAAATTTTCATAAATTTTAACAGAAATTTTTCATCAACTTTAAAGAACCAAAAAAATAGGTTAAAAATGAAAATTTGGACTGATTATTTTTAACATATTAAAAATCAAATCAGTAATAAATTGAAAACAAATTTTTTTTTTCTTTTAATTATTATCTTACATGTAATTAGTAATAATATAAAAAATTAGAAGTGCTAAAAAAAGTCCAATTGGAGATTTGAAAAAACGCCAAAATTTGATTTAGAAAAGTATATTTTTGCTTCTAATGAAAGTTCCTTGTAGTCCAGTGCATTTATTTATCTATGCCATCTATGCCTCGTCCACACTTTGCCTCAACCCCACTGTGCTACCGTTTTTTTTGTGTCTGTATACGCTCAATCTCAGCTCTCACTAAACCGATTTTGATAAAAAATATTTCAATAGATCACAAATCGTATCTAGTTGAAGACATTACCTTAAAAATTTGAAAAAAAAATCCCTTGTTCCCCGTGAACGAGGGAAATCCCTCAAAAATTTCCAATTTCCTACTTTAGAAAAAAAAAAATTAGGTTAGGAATTTTTTCTGCTATTCGCCAAAATTACTTCTTCGTTGACTAGAATGAATTATTAAATAGAAAATTTTATGAGAATTAAAACAGTGTTATTTTTAAAATTAATATGCANAAATAGAAAATTTTATGAGAATTAAAACAGTGTTATTTTTAAAATTAATATGCAGTCAGAAAATTTTATAATTACTATTTACAGTATATTTATCAAAAAAATTCATTCTTTTTTTGCATTTTTATTGTAATAGAACACTTTAATAGAAATCATAGTAATTATTTCTCAGTAACTTTTGGTATTNCCGATTGAAGTTTACAGATTAGTTAATAATAATGATTTCATTTTCATTTGCCTGCCGACTTTCATCAGACAAACATTTGCCTTTGTACGCATCTATTGCTTTACGAATTACAGGTACCTATTCTTATAAATTATAATAATTTAACATATAATTTGTTTATATTTAAAATAATTATCTTTATGAATTATGATACACATTTTTGTACGGAAATTAATATTTATTAAGCTTGTTTATCAATTTAAATTGATATGGCGTATAAATCACTATCGTACTATTCTACTAAACGATTTCTACTAATAATTTTGTCATTGGACTCTCTTCGGTCTTATTAAAATGCATCGCGTTTACACTTTCATTATTATTTTGTCCCGTTAAATCGCAATAATAAATTATATACCTTAAGACCAATAAATTTATATAATAATATCCCTTCATTAGTTGCGCGATATTGTATATCCTTAGTTGTCGCGTGAATTACAAATGTATAATATTATTTATTAGTAAAATGAAGGTATTTAATGAGTAATGATTAAATTATTTAATTTAGGTACCTATCTTATATATAATAATAATTCAAGAATGAATAACTCTGACGTGGGTAACACTAAAAAGCGACACCGTTTATCGGGATCGGAGTATAAAAAAAGACGTGCAGCGGCGCAAGCTGAAATTGCCAAACAATCCGGCTTAATGCTTAAATTTTTTAAATCCGAACATGATGATACTGTTGAATCCAAAGTAAACAATGAAGTTGTAAGATCTGAAGTTACAGATTTTAATTCAAAAATGGACAATTCAAATGAAAATTTAAATTTGGATGTTGAAATTATTAAGGACCCTGCAAAGTGGCCTGTAATTAATGATAAAATGAAATTACTATTAGTCAAAAATAATCCCCTTCAAATAAATTTAAATTATTACCCATTAGATGATTCTAAAAGAAAGTTTTCTAACGCTCACTACTTTAAGACATTATCTAACGGAGAAAAGCTAAATAGGACCTGGCTTATTTATTCAGAGTCAAGTGACTCAGTATTTTGTTTTTGCTGCAAATTATTTAAAAAAGATTTATCTTCTCTCTCTAAGCAAGGTACCAGAGACTGGAAAAATATATCTCATATACTAATACGGCATGAAAACTCTCCAAATCATAAAATTGCGTATGAAGATTGGAAAATCCTTCAGACTCGAATGATGCAAGGAAAAACTATCGACGATGAAAATCAAGCTTTAATTCGAAAAGAAACAAAACACTGGAAAGCCGTAATGGAAAGAATTATATCTCTTATTCAAACTTTGGGAATGCAAAATTTAGCTTTACGAGGCAGTTCTGATAAATTATATGAATTCGACAATGGAAATTTTTTGAAATTAATTGAACTTCTGGGAAAATTTGACCCTATAATAAAAGAGCATATTAGTAGAATAACATCTCAAGACATACATACTCATTACCTCGGTAAAAATATTCAAAATGAAATAATCCAACTTCTAGATAACAAAATAAGACAAAAAATAATATCAGCAGTACAAAATTCGAAATACTATTCTATTATTTTGGACTGTACACCTGACGTTAGTCATAAAGAGCAGATGACAATGATTATAAGATTCGTAACAGCTACCGAAAAGAAAGAAAATGTTCCAGCAAAAGTTTCTATAAGTGAACATTTTTTAACATTTATTGAATTACATGATACTACTGGTTTAAATATGACTAATGTTTTACTTGAAACACTTAAAAAATATGGTATTTTACTTGATGACATGAGGGGACAAGGATATGATAACGGTGCCAATATGCGTGGTACACAAAATGGTGTCCAAGCAAGAGTTCGTCAACTTAACCGAAGAGCGTTCTATGTACCATGCAATGCTCATTCATTAAATTTAGTTTTAAGTGATTCTGCTAATTGTTGTCTTGATGCAGTTATATTTTTTAATATAATTCAAGAAGTCTTTGTTTTTTTCTCTGTATCGACTCATCGATGGAATGTCTTATTAAAACACATAAATAATCTAACTGTAAAACCCCTTAGTGCGACCCGCTGGGAAAGCAGATTAGATGCAGTACGAGCTATAAGATTTCAAGTCAAAGAAATATATTCAGCCCTTTTAGAAATATCTCAAGATAATTCGTTGGTAAATCCTTCTGGAGTAAAAAGTCGCGCCGAAGCAATTGGTATCATCAATAAGTTTTTAAGCTTTAAATTTTTGTGTTGCTTGGTAGTTTGGTACGATGTTTTATTTGAGATAAATATTACCAGTAAAATGTTACAATCAATATCGCTTGACGTTTCTGAAACAGTTAAACAATTAGATTCAACTAAACATTTTTTAATGAGATATCGTTCTGATGAAGGATTTGAAAATACATTGAAGTCTGCTAAACTACTAGCAAACGAGCTTGGAATTGAAGATTCATTTCCATCAATAGATCAAAGTAGAATTAGACGTACAAATACACAGTTTAATTATGAGTCATGTGATGATCCCATAATTGATTCCAAACAAAAATTCAAAGTAAACTTTTTCAATGCAATTTTAGATAGAGCTATACAATCAATTAACGAAAGATTTTTACAACTTTCTGAACATGTAAACTTATTTTCATTTCTTTATGACATTTCCAAAATAAAAAATAGCGATGAACTTATGACTCATTGTAAAGATCTACAACTAGCACTTGCATCAGATGACGGCTTAACTTCTGACATTGATGCAGTAGAATTATATAATGAAATAACAGCTCTGCAAAGACGGTTCAATGATACAGAAACTAATCCTCGAATTGTTTTGGAATATATTTGTGCAAATCAATTAGTTGAACTTTTTCCTAACACTTTTGTATCGTTAAGAATCCTTTTAACACTACCTGTGACGGCTGCCACTGGGGAAAGAAGTTTCTCTAAATTAAAAATTATTAAAAATTATTTACGATCTCAAATGTCACAGGATCGCTTAGTGGGCCTTGCAATGATTTCAATCGAGAAAGAATTAGCCTATAATATGGACATGGAAGAAGTTGTATCTGATTTTGCTAATGCAAAAGCAAGAAAAGTCAAGTTTTAATTTCTAATACCATGTTAATATTTATATTATGATTTAATTAACTTTTATTATATTACAAACTATTTTTAAATTGTTTCGTTTTATTTAAATTAGTAGAGATTTACTTATGTATAAATATATCAATCTAATCAATTGTTAACTTTATACAAATAAATATAATGAACTCAGAATTAACTATATTTTAGTAATGTTTATGTGAAAAAATATTTGATGTAGTATTTACATGTATAAGGGGCGGCAAAACTTAAGTTTGCCTAGGTGTGTAAAATCACTTGAGCCGGGCCTG